ATAGTGTAAATCTCATACAGTTTTATGTTTTACATGTAAGTCTGTGATACATTTTGTGTTATAATTTTTTAAATTTTATTTATATTTAAATTCAATTAATTAACATATTGTTATTATAGTGTTTTATTAGTTTCAGAGGTAGAGTTTAGTGATTCATCAGTTGCATAGAACACCCAGCGCTCAATACATCAAGTGCCTTCCTTAATGCCCAACATCCAATTACCCCATCCCTCCACCCACCTCCCCTCCAGCAACCCTCAGTTTGTTTCCTATAGTTAAGAGTCCTGTTAATTATGAGGAGTGAAGATCTTTGTTTTTGGTCTGTGGATGTCTAATTGCTCCAGCACCATTTGTGGAAAGGCTATACTTCCTCCATTGAATTGCTTTTGTGCCAGTATCAAAATTGAGTTGGACCTACTTATGAGTGTCTGTTTCTCATTCTCTGTTCTATTCATTGATCTCTGTAATCTCCCTCCACAAATGCCAGGCTCTCTTGATTACTGTAACCATATAGTAAGTCTTAGCATCATTGTGTTAACTATTCTAGCTCCTTTGCCTTTCTATACAAATTTAGAATCAGCTTATCTGTATTTACAAACAATTTGCTGAGATTTTGATAAGAACTGATTTAAACCCATAGATCAGTTTGGGGGAAATCTGTATCTTTAAGACCTATCTTTCAAAGCATGGATGCAGTATGTTCATTCATTTATTTAGGTTTTCTTTGATTCTTTTCACCAACATTTAGTTCTCCGCGTAGAAATCTCATACATATCTTGTTAAATGAGCACCTAAAGTATTTCACCTTCTTTGAGTGATTATGATTGTTACTGTGTTTTTAGTGTGTTTTGACATATTCATTGTTATATAGAAGTGTGGTTGATTTTTGTGTGTTGATCTTGTTTTCTACAAATAGCTTAGCTCATTTATTAGATGCAGAGGTGTTCTTTTTTATGTTCCTTAGGATTTTCTACATTGACAATTATGTCACCTGAAATAGGATCACTACGATTTTTATCTTCCCAATCTGTATACCTTTTTTTCTTTGTTTTGCCTGTTGCGCTAGCTAGGATTTCTAGTAAGATGTTAAATAAGAGTTGTGAGAGTGGACATTTTATCTTGTTCCTGATCTTAGGGGAAAGCATTCAGTCTTTCACCAATTAAAATTTTTTTTGTTTATTTATTACAACTAAAAGTGTATATTTTTAAGGTGCACTATGTGATGTTGTAATGTATGTGTATATACATTTTGAAATGATGAACACAAATGAATTAACATAACCATTACCACCCAGAGTTACCTTTACTCTGGTGTGTGTGGTAAGAATATGTAAGATCTACTTTTTTAGCAAATTCAAGTATACAGTTCAGTATTAACTATAATGCAGTACATTTAGTCTTCAGATCTTATTCATCTTATAATCAGAAGTTTGTACCATTTGATTAACATCTGCCCTTCACCCCCCTCTCTAGGTTCTCATAACTATCATTCTACCCTCCGTTACTGAGCTTGATTTTATTTTTAGATTTCACTTATAAGTGAGATCATGCAGTATCTACCTGTCCTTTTGTGCCTGGTTAAGTTGACTTAGCATGTTGTCGTCCAGGTTTATCCATGTTTTTTGGAGAGCACAGGATTTCTTTCTTTTTAAGGCTGAATGATATTCCATTTTCTTTATGCATTCATCTGTCCACTTACATTAAAGTATATAATGATAGGTAAGGATTTACTATTGCATTTCATTAGTCCAAGTTTTTCGTAGATCACTTGTTCCTTCTTCCTGTCTTCCCTTGTGATTTCATGGTTTGTTTGTTTTTTAGGCAGGAATGCTTTCATTCCTTTATCTTTGTCTTTTCCATATCTACTCTAGGTTTTTGCTTTTCAGTTACCAGGAGGCTTACATAAAACTTTTTATTTTTATTTTTTTTAAAAGAATTTATTTATTTATTTGACAGAGAGAGACACAGCGAGAGAGGGAACACAAGCAGGGGGAGTGGGAGAGGGAGAAGCAGGCCTCCCGCGGAGCAAGGAGCCCAGGACCCTGGGATCGTGACCTGAGCCGAAGGCAGACGCTTAATGACTGAGCCACCCAGGTGCCCCAAAACGTTTTATAGTCTTATAAATATAGCAGTCTATTTTAAGCTCATAAGAACTTAACTTTGTTCTCATTCAAAACCTCAGTGCTTTTACTCCCCCTCCATTTTATGTATTTGAACTCACAATTTACATATATTGTGTATCCATAAACAATTCTTATAGGTATTTTTAATTGTTTTATCTTTTATCCTTTACACTTGAGTTATAAGTGATTTGTATATCACCATTACAATATTACTGTATGCTGAATTTGAGTATATATTTACATTTACCAGTGAGTTTTGTACTTTCATATGATTTCGTGTTAGTAGTAAGTGTCCTCGCTTTTCACCTTGAAGAACTCCCTTTAGTATTTCTTGTAAGGCAGCTTTAGTGGTGATGAAATTTTCCACTTGTGTTTGTCTGGAAATGTCTTTCTCTCTCCCTCATTACTTGCTTTTCCAGGTAAATTATTTGTGGTTGCAAATGTTTGCTTTTTGTTTTTTTTGTTTCTTTACCACTTCGAATATATTATCCACTCTCTTTTGGCTTTCAAGATTGCTGCTGGTAAAGCCACTGAATAGCCTTGTAGGTGTTCCCTTGTATGGGACGAGTTCCTTTTTTCTTGCTGCTTTCAAGATTCTCTTTGATTTTTGAGTTTTATTATAAAGTGTCTTGGTGAAGTCTTTTTGGGATTCAATTTGATTGGGGACCTTTAACTTCATATCCCAAGATTTCCATATATTTCCCTAGGTTTGGGAAGTTTTCAGCCATTGTTCCTTTAAGTAAGCATTCTGCCCACTTCTCTTTTGTCCTACTAGGACTCCCCTAATGTGAATATTGTTTCACTTGATGGTGTCCTGTAAGTCCTGTAGGCCTTTTTCCCCTGTTCTTTTCATTTTTTTCCTGACTCTGAGTGCATAATTTCAAATGCAGAGCAGTGTGGTTGGCTCAGGCAGTTGGAGACCACAACATCAGCAACTGCATGGTCCATGGGAGCAAGAGCTGTGGGGGGTTCATTGTGGCTGTGTTGCTATTTGGGTCTTCAGTAGCACCTCCAGACATAGCGTGACTGTGGCAGGCAGAGTGGTGGCCAGAGTTGGTGCTATGCACACATTCCTCTGTGGGCACTGAATGGAGGCACCTGCCCCAAATGAGGGCTAGGCCCAGTAGCAGGGGCCAAGGACAAATGGGGGCACATAGGTAGCATTGAGTGACCGGGCTGTCTCTGTGCACTCACGTGGCTTCAGGGCTAGCCGCTGTTGCATGCATGGCATTGGGGCTTATGACCGGAGTTCAGCCTGGCAAAATACAGGGTTTAGCTGTGGACGCATGTGGCAGTGCAGTCCAATGACAGGAGTCAGGCCTGGCCTCAAGCACCTGAGAAGCTGCTGGGACCTGGGCTGGTGTTGTATATATGACCAGTCACAGAGGCCAGGGCTGGCTTCTGGTGCAATTTCCAGGGCTCGGGGTGCTGATGGTGGCCCTGGCTGAGGCACGTCCAGTAGGGGTAAAAGGAGCAGAGCTGGACTCAGGCAGCTGGAGCCTGCAAATGTGAAAACCTGGGGGACTATCAGCAGCAAAATCTTAGAGGGTGCACAGTGCTCGGCTGGCTATTGGTTCCTCAGCCGCTAAGGCTGCTAGGGTCTTCTGCAGAGCAGGACACAGAGAAACATGGTCACTCCTGCCACTTGACTGATACTGGTAGTCTGGCCCTTCTTTGTTCCTAGCTGTGTCTAGATGTGCCACCCATGCCAGTCTCTGGGTGGGGTGAAACCAAAGTGGGTCATTTGTACCGTGCCTTGAAGGGTGGGGCTAATGGTCGCTCATCCTTCTGCCCATCATCCAGGAAGGGAAACTATCTCAGGTCAGAGGGTGTCCTCTTGGTGCTGAGCAGTGCTGGTCTGGGGCATGGGGTGATGCAGGCAAAACGAAGCTAATCTCCCTACTTTTCTTGTACAGTTATTCTCAAGAGTTTTGCTCCACTGTGTTGTCAAAACTTCTTAAATGGACTCCTAAGCTCTTGGTCCTATTTTTGTTTGTGGATAGCTGTCTAATTGTTGTTCTTTGTAGGGTGACAGAAGCTGGACTGTCCTGTTCCATCATCCTGGTGATATCACATCAGTCTTTCCTCACTGAGGTGATGTTAGGTGTAGGGTTTTTAGATGCTCTTTACTAAGTTGAGAAAGTTCCTTCTGTTCCTTGTTTGTGAGTTTTTAATCATGAATGCATATTGGAGATACCCATTTTAAAACAAAATATAGTTTTGGAAGATGGAAGAAAGATTCAAGCTAGTTAGCTTGATAGGCCAGTCCCAAGCTGAGAAATAGAATGATCTCTCTTTCCTTCTGTCCCTTTGGGGAAATACTGGGGGAAAAGATTTCCATGTAACTGTACCATTTCTTCACAGTAACAAATAGATTCCTAATGTTTTTAATCTTAAGTATTATTTTTAAAAAAAATCACCATATCAAGATATCCATTTTTCGAGTTTCTCATGCTGTGGATATATGCAAAGTCAGAACTGGTCTGAGGCAACATGCAGTTTGCCAGGCTATCTGGCTACCTTCCACCATTCCAATTCTATTCTGCACAGCTTAGGAGAATGTATTAGGTGTTAATTGTGTGTATTCCCCTGAAGGTGTAGCTTCCCTACCAAATTATTTCATACATATTTACATTGAAAAGGAGATTGGAATATAAAGGCTGGAAAGCATATCAGGTGGCCGGATGCCTCCTTCAGCCTTGCAGGAAGCTAGGCATTTGGGATAAATATCTATTGAGCATCTAGCATATGGCCTGCTACTAAGTAGGCAGCCACTAAATATTTGTTGAGTAATTCATACCTATTTAACACATTTTCCACAAACTTTGAGACCTGCAAAACTTATGTAGGGCAAAATGTGTTTTTCTTTGACTCTAGTTTCTTGGTCCAGTGGGATTTATGAAAAATTCCATTGCTCTGTCTGAGGATGAAGAATGGAAGAGAATACGAACATTGCTGTCTCCAGCCTTCACCAGTGGAAAGATGAAAGAGGTAAGAAAGAAGAGGATTTCAATTAAAAAGTTAAGGAATACATCTGGGGCCAGGTAAAAAAATAGGAACATATTCCATTTCTAGGGAGTAGTCTGCTATATTTGGCTTCCTAAAAATGGTCTTTTCTCTTCCTGTCCTAGAAAAGACGTAAGATTTGTCATTAAATGTCCCTTACTCTGACTGACTTATTTCACTCTAGCTCCATCCACATTGTTGCAAATAGCCAGATTTCATTCTTTTTGAAGGCTGAATAATATTCCATTTTGTATATATGCCACATTCCTTTTTTTTTTTTTTTTAGGATCTCACTCATCTGTGGAATTTAAGAAAGAAAACAGATAAACATATGGGAAGAGGGGAAAGGGAATAAAAAAAAAAAGGAGAGAGGGAAACAAGCCATAACTGACTCTTAATGACAGAGAACAGACTGAGGGTTGATGGAGGGAGGTGGCTGGGAGATGGGCTAGATGGGTGATAGTTACTAAAAAGGGTACTTGTTGTGATGAGCACTGGATGTTGTATGAAAGTGATGAATCACTGAATTCTACTCCAGAAACCAATATTGCACTACATATTAAGTAACACAATTTAAATTAAAAAAAAATGTCCCTTAATGCTCCATGCTTGTGAAAGCCAGGTCATTCTAGCACTTGATTTCCCAATTTAACTTCAGGTGGTGTTGTATTTTGTGTGTAGATGTTCTCCATCATTGGCCAGTATGGAGATGTGTTGGTGAGGAACCTGAGGAAGGAGGCAGAGAAAGGCAAACCTATCAACTTGAAAGAGTAAGTAGGAGTGCAGCTGCTGGGATTCCAACTCTGTCACAACACTTCCTAGCTGCTGCCACAGAGCCCAGTTCCCACTATTGAGTTGCTGTAGTGAAGCAGCTGAAGTAGGTGTGTGGTGTTCCAACGCCAGTGGGCCAGCCAAGAAGAGGTAGCTCACCTAAAAAGGCAGGGCAGCCAGGAGAGAGGATCTATCGGCTCCTGCTTACAGGAGCAAGGAATAAATTATCTACTTAATTGTGACTTTGGTTATTCTGGAAGACCAAAATACATTCTTGAGAAGAAGAAACAGAATTGTACCAAAGTTTTTGAGGGTAGAATGTACGCAATGGTGGGAGGGGAGGGTACTTGGTACAAATTGGCAGGCACTGGGTGGGGCAGGAAAGTTACAAGGTAGAATGGGAACAACTTAAAAACTTTCATGATTTTTTGTAGATATTCGCAAAATGTGAAATATTAACTTTTACTACCACTTTTCCTTCCTTCAATCTCAAAAGAGCAAAAGTCCTACACAGGGTATGGGTAGGCTGACCATGTCATTTATTGTCTAAATTTGGGAATTTTTTAATCATGCAGGAATAACAAGTGTACACTGGGTTGTCCTGTGAAAACTAGGGGCATATGGGGCGCCTGGGTGGCTCAGTCGTTAAGCGTCTGCCTTCGGCTCAGGTCATGATCCCAGGGTCCTGGGATCGAGTCCCACATCGGGCTC